TGAATCCGACACGATTCGAAGATTTCCGTCCTACGAGAATTCGTTTTGTGCCCCTGGATTCCGCTTTTAGCGCGAATCCGATACGACTTGCTTTTTCTTCTAAACCCTCATCCTGAAATTATCCACTCATAAATTATTAAATAAACAGAAACTCTAGCCAATCTCCCTAACCCGATTCATTTTAGTGGACTCACGGGATCCACATCCAAAGCCCAGGCGGAAGTCGCGAGCCGTAGTAAAAAGAAGGAGGAATCGGCGCGCGCGTCTATTAGCCGCGCAAAATCATATTCAGGAACAACCCGATCCACCCGTCGTTCAAAACTGCGACTCCTCTCCTCCCTCTTCCCCCCTTTGTGCTCGTCCCGACCGTCAGACCGAGGACCCTCCACCCTCTTCTTCCTCTCCACGAGATCCTCCTCCCCACCTGTGCGAGCCTGAGTCCTCTCACTCCGAACCCCCGGAAATTGACAATAGGCCTCCGTCCCCCGCCTCTTCGATCTCTAGTATAGAGATCGTCGAGGAATTCGAACCCCCTCCTCTCACTCGCAATCGGATTACCTTCGAGCAATTTTATAACTTAATCCGCGAAATTCCTCCTCGCACCTGTCCTCTCCCACCAGGGACCTTCACCATAGGCCCTGAAATTTTAGACATCCCTGAACTCCTTAACAGAGTTCGCTCTAATCCTCCCGACCGATTCATCCCGGTCTATATTCCCGGAGAGAGGTACCCCAGGCCCGTATCCATCCTGTTCCTCCAGGGCCTTTTCCCTCCTTCCTCCATAATAATAAAAAACCACTAATAAATCCCTCACACCCCTACACATATAAATACACACACAATCACCCGCGTATGTAAAAATCCGACAATGTAATGTACATATAGCGTTAACACAAATTATCTTCTGTTTGTTAAAATTATCCCTTTTAGTTAGTTAAAATTAGCTTTTATTTTATTTAATTCTTTTTTTTCTTCTCTAAATAAAATGTCATGTAAAACCCTTCTAATGTAATGGTTCTAATGTTTAGTTAAATTTATCTTTTTTTATTTCTAATGTAATGTCTAGATATAGGTAGACAAATCTTAAATATAATGCTATGTTAAACCTATCTCTTTCTATTTTATTTTTTTTCTAAGGACCTCACCCCCTTCGTTCCCCTTTGAGAGTGCACAAGGTCCGTCCCAGGGTAATAGGGATTAATTTCCTTGACCTAAAATAAGACCTGCGATCGCACCGCTCTTGAAAAGAGTCATAGTCCTCACGGACATTGGCCTTTTTAGAGCCTTTGAAAAGTGCGTTCGGCTCGCTTCCACGTGCCTCCGAGCGTGTTAGCGAGACATTTAAACTTGCTAGTTGCGTCATTCCATACCTCCACATTCCAAGAGGTTTTGACGTAACAATTACAACCGCAGCCTTCAACAAGCAGTGGGCGAAAACCGAAGTCAAGGAAGCAGGAGTCCGATTCCGACAGTGATGACAAAACAGAAAAATAATTTTCTTCTAATTATTTTCATTGTATTTTTAATTAATGTTAATTAATGTAACTGTTTAAATTTTTCTATTAAAAATAATTAATAAAATGTATTCTATCGTATTTCATGATCGAAATTATATAGTTTCATTTAAAATCTAGTCCGAGAATGGAGTGACGACTTCGCCCCATAGGGGTGACGACTCCGCCCCGGAAATTTTGACATTTCAATTTTTGCACCTTTGTCATTTTTACTCTATACCGATTGAACAAAGCGATGTAGACCAAAAATACATAGAAAACATTATAGCCAAGGATTCACTTTTTACAACGGTACACCACATTTCACTAAAATTATGTATTTTGTTGTTAAAAACCGGCATCGAAAAAAAGGTGACGACTTCGCCCCGGTCTCCCCTATTTTTAGAATAAATTGAATAAACTTGTATCATTATAATAGTGTTTCTCGACAATGTTGGAGGAATTAACTATGATAATACTACGCTTTTGAAACAGGGCCGCTCCTGAGAGAACACCGTCGAAAGTAAACTGACCGTCGCTGGAGTGCGCGCGGCAAGGGGACAAAAGTAGGCGGTTCCCTTTCTAAAAAAGGCACGTTCATCCGTATCTTTTTTTCGGTTGACCTTTTAATATCTTTTTAATATTATTTTACTACCTAAGATGTCGGTCCACGTTCGGTGACGTAATCGAGCCTGGTTCGGTCTTCCTGTACAGACTCCGTAACAAATAGTCTCACGAGGTCCGAAGACAGGACGAACCGATAACGGACTGCGGAAGTTTTTCGAACGCTATTCTCGGTTCAGAAGGCAGTAAGTAATTTTGAGAACAGAATTTTCTAGAAGCATTTTTTCAGTGCATTCAGAGACGTGTCGTAAAATAAAATATTTAAACAATTCTTTTCTATGAAAACCCAGTAGAAAGTTAACGAATTCCTTTCGTATTTCTTGTCGTTCGAAAAGTAACTGTTCAAGGAAGATTTTAAATCGTTTGAAAAAACAATTGTTACAGTTCGATTGAATAGGCATCATCGTGTCGCAGAATGGCGCAGCAAGACGCGATTGTTGTAAGAAACGCTAATAAGCGTTACGGAAAAGGAGAGCAAGTACTCGACGGACTGAATATGACGGTTTCGAGGGGTTCCATGTAAGTAACCATTATTTATTATATTATACCAATGAACAGAATTAAGCGTCTTCCTATCAATTTCCATTTTCAGGAGTAAAACTGTAAACGAATAACCCGAGTTAAAAAAAGTTAAGTAAACACTTCGTAAAAGAGCAAACAATGTGGTGAAAATTACATTAGTGATTAACATTTTTGTTTACGATTAGTATCAATCCGCAAACACGTATCAACTGCCTAAATTGCCGACGCTTGTAATTTATACCAAAATTTTCGAATCTATTACAAGCACTGTACTCATACTGGAGAACGATCGTGGAACCGTTTATTACAAGATTAAAAGAAATATTGGCAATTCTATGCTTCCTCTAGTTCAAGTGTATCGTTTAAAGAGGATAAAACATCGTAATCGATGTTTCCTTTAACAGATACGGACTGTTGGGGCCCAGTGGATGCGGCAAAACTACCATACTATCCTGCATGGTCGGGATTTGTAAACTTAATAGCGGCGAGGTGTTGGTCTTGGGCGAAACTCCGGGCAGCAAGGTTTGCGGGATTCCCGGGCCTCGAGTAGGTTATATGCCGCAGAGCGTCTCGTTAGTCGGAGAATTTTCCGTGAGCGATACTCTTTATTATTTCGGCAGGATCAGCGGGCTTAGTGATGAGGAAATCGGTAAGATGTAACACGGATAGGAAAAGAGTCGCGCAAAAAGACACGTAAATTCTGCAAAGTTTTTAGTTTCACTTTTGAGCGAGAATCTTTTAAACGTTTCCAGTATTATGTCGCTCGTAAGATATTTTATTTTTAAAACAACTATAGTTTTTTCGTGTCATTTCCAAGAAACGAAACTGAACTTTCTGTTGGAGTTGTTTCAACTACCACCAGCGAACCACCTGGTGAAGAATATAAGTACAGGTCAACAAAGAAGGGTTTCCCTTGCCGCCGCATTGATCCACGGGCCCGAACTCCTAATTCTAGACGAACCCACCGTCGGCTTGGATCCAATTTTGAGAGAGAAGTAGATTCTGCTTTCTTTTTAGCGTAAGCAAACAACATTAAGAAACATGTTTGGACATATCTTTCCTTTCACAGCATTTGGGCTTACCTAATCAAGATTACGCAGGAGCAAGGGATCACCGTGTTGATTACGACACATTACATCGAAGAGACTAAAGATGCTAATAAAGTGAGTCTCCATCCCAGTGAGAAATGATTCATCGATCGATGTCGAAACGATATCGTTTCGACATCGACAACGTCAAATTGACGTCGATTCGACATCGTTTCGACATCGATCAACGAATCATTTCCCACTGGGATTAGGTTTTCTAAAATACTTGTTCCATTAGTATAAATATAAAACTGTTACCAAAAAAAACCCTCTTAGCATTGAAACAAAAATTACCTTTCAACTTAAAAAAGAACATTCTAGCTAAGTTACAAAGATCGTATTTAATATTGTTTATCTTTAATATTACGCAGATCGGTTTGATGAAAAGTGGTAAATTGTTGGCGGAATTGGGGCCGCAGGAATTATTGGAACAATGCCACTGTTCGTTATTGGAAGAAGCTTTTCTGAAACTGTGCGAGGCACAAAATAACGCAGTTATTTTAAATGAAGCCCAGGGATCCAGTGCAATAAATACTGGTGGCCAAGTCTTAAATCAAGACCAAGATATATATGAACAAACAGAAGTATGATAGTTTTTACTGTTATGAAAAATCATGTAAATCTATAACCTTTTAGAAAATACAAATAAATTGAATTGTTAAGGCAAACTCGGATTACAAAGTGGTTTCGAAAAGTCAAGTTCCGTGCTCAAGAAGAATCAAAGCTTTATTGGTGAAGAACGGCATCCAGTTTAGCCGCAATTACACGTAAGTGTTTATCAATAGCTTATCATGAACTCAGAAGAGAAGCACTTGTCAACAAAATGAAATGACATTTGTTTCAATTTTGGATCTTGTTATTTCCTTCACTATACCTGTACAACGTTCAGTTGTTGCATAAAAACCATACATTTAAAAAATTTGAGATTTTATCAACACTTGCTGATGTCATAACAATAAGAATGACAATTTTTCAGAGGGTTAGTTGTCGCACTATTAATCCCGATGATCCAAAGTAACCTAATGTTTCTTACAATTGGTCAAGATACAAAACACTTGAAGATTGCGGTTGTCAACGATGAGTCTGGCAACTGTGACTACGGCAACAATTTGGGCAATATTTGGAATGACGAAATCACCTGCCACTTTGGTAACCTTAGCTGTAGGTTTCTGCACAATTTTGACGACTCAATTGCAAAACAGGTATAACAATTTAAACATAAGTAATATAAAGTAAATTAATAAGACAAAGTATATAATTAAAATTGCTTTCCGTTTTCTTGATGACCTCTTTCTTTCTCGCGAATTTCTTCCACTATAAATTGAAATCTACTTGGATATAAATTGAGAGGATGACTATATCAGCAATCAACAACATGTTTCTTGAAAATTCTTACAAATATACTTTGCTTTCAGATGTATTATGACAACATTTCAGAGGCGAGTCGCGAGGCGCAGAATAGACGTTTCATTGGTATAATATATTTCAATCAAAATTTCTCTGAGGCTCTGCAAGCACGAATAGAAGATGCCAAGTTTGCGAAGGATTCCGATCTTCGTGCCAGTCAGATTCAAGTTTCCCTCGATATGAGCAGTAGGTTATTTTTATTTGTAAAACGTTTCATCTAATATACATATTTTTCCAGTTTAGTTTGTTTTTATCGGAGCCTCATTTACAAGTATCAATTTAAGAAATTTTATTTAAAATACGAAACTACTAGAAAAGGGACCCAAGGAATCGATATTATTTCAACTCCTAAATGTTTTAAACGGCCCGGAAATTAAATAATTTCTTATAAATATTTAAATTTTCATTCGCTTGTGTTACAGATATGGGGATAGTTAGGACTTTAATTCAAAGGAAATTATTCATACGTTTTTTAGAGACCTATAAAGATATCGTGAGAGATTGCAAATATCCGTCAAAACTGGCCGACCTGCCCATTCGAGCAAGTATAATATTATTTAATATTTTTAATTTTATAAAGTTAAATCTCTCTCTCTCTCCCTCTCCCTCTCCTTCGCCCTTGCCCTCACCTCCTCTCTCTTTCTGTCTCTCTCTTTCTCGTATAAAACTAAAATAGAAGATTAAAGTTTCAATCATTTTTAGTTTGAAGATCCCATTTATGGTTCGATGGAGCTCACGTACGCAGATTTCACCGCACCAACATACATGATATCGTAAGCAAAACTTAAGCTGATATAAAAAATGTAATAAATTTAGTTCTACTATTTATTGTTTCATACTGTATTTTTGCAGATTTATCTTCTTTTTGGCCACCACAGTCTCTGCCTACTTGCTAATCACAGATCGTATAGAGGGTGTCTGGAATAGAAGCGTAGTCCAAGGTATAAAATTATCAATTAATTAGACCCCAAAATTAGGTTTATGATTAGCTTTTGGTCTCTGTATATTTTGCCATAATAATGTTAATATAAATATATTATAGGAGTCAAAACAGAAGAGATTTTGCTGTCTCACATTCTTATTCAGAGCACCGTCATAGTGATTCATACTACTGTAATAACGCTCATGTTCTTCCCCATATGGGGTTTGGAAAGTAAAGGATCGATGTTTATTGTAATTATCTTAATATTTATCAATGGGTTTAGTGGATTGATGTTCGGTGAGTACTCCGCTCTGTGTACCAAAAGAGCACGCAAATTCAGAGAGCGCTGGAAATTATACCGATGTGTTAACGTAATTTCAGGTTTTGTTATCTCTGTTATGTTCTCAAATCATGTTTCGGCGTGTTACATTTCAACCGGAAGTTTAATCACGCTAACAATGATCAACGGTAAGCATGCTCCGTTTTCTTGTTTTTCGAAAAAACTTTTTACTCGAATCTAGAGTTGCTAGTGATACCCTTATTAAATTGATTATTTCAAAATTCAAATGATTTCATCATGTAACAATATTTCATTGTTAATATAAATGTAGAAAATTTTACAAAATATTTATTAAAATTAACGCCAACAGTATGTCTGAAGTTGAGTATCTTACGTTAAAGAGATATTTATTAATACATTAATGTGACGAAATCGTAGGATGTTTTTGGCCAATTGAGGGACTACCGAAAGTGATCCGCTGGATCAGCTACATGTTGCCAACTACATTATCCACCCTATCTATGAGGGGAATCATTTATAAAGGATCTTCCATATTTGATTTCGAAGTTTATATTGGCTTTTTAATAACTTTAGGATGGATATTGCTATTGTTCGTTGTCTCTATACTTGGTATAAGATTTAAATCCTCGTAATATTATTTAGAAACGTTGAAAACTTTTATGGATATGATAGAAAGTAATTTTGTGTATTCTACAGAGTTATTATTTCCCTGACAAATTTTCAAATAATTTTTCATCAATTAAACATCACATTTATTGAAAAAGTATTGTGGCGAGCGTGGCGTACCGAAGATTTGTGCGCTGCTCTAATGACTTGAAGATCCGAGTACGAACCCAGCCAGAACACTGCTGGTTTTTATTCACACGTCACCTTTCATTGTCAGAGAAAAGTGATAACCACCGAGAGTATCCCGATAAAGATAATTTTTTCATACATTGTACATCTCGTACGTACACTGACTCGGAGAGATTCTGTTGGCCGCGATACGTTTGACGCTTCTAGTTAACGTTATCCGAGAGTTAACGCGGCATGCGTTATATAATTACCGGACAGAATGATATCTCCTTCATGGGAAATGCGGAAACAAGTGTGTCCTTGTTATAAAATTTCCTCAGTACGTAGGATAAAAAGTCCTTCGTAATTAAATATATATAAAGTATGTTAATTGTTCTAGATAAGAGTACGGGTTTAAATTGATAAATTATATAAACGTAAAAGTCTTATTTTTTTATTTGTATCACTTTTCTTATCTCGCAAAGGCGGTATGTTTTCGTTAGAAATCACTCAAAGAACAACGCGTAGAATAAGTAGCTAATAGCGCTTTTCATTGGGCAGAACTGAGTGCGCACTGAGAACTCGTGAAATGCAAGACGGTACTGCCCGAGTGTACCGCTAGTGCAAGTTTCTTGCACGCCGAATGAAACACTCGCGGCTTGGTTCAGCGCACAACATTAGTGTATTTGCACGAAACCGACACCGTCACTTGGAGCTCGTGCCAGATTTCTGCATGAAATGCGCAAAATTCAGCACATAGAATTACCAACGAAACTGCACGCACGTTCTTCGTACGCACTGAAATCCGCAATGAAACAAACAGTTCGCAAATCGTGCGCGCTCAGTGCGCACTAGTTCTGCCAATGAAAAACGCTATAAAATAATTTATCACAAAGAGGCGATTACTTGCTCATGATATCACGAATTCACTGTTACTTTTATTAGTTTCCATTTATCGTTCACATTTTGAAAATTTATAGTATTTCCCCGACATATTCTTAAAAGTCGGATATTGTCATCCAGAGTTCTTTAATTTAGATAGATGTTCGCGAGAAAAGGAAGACGTGACAAAATTTTTTCAATTACTATTGAAAAAGAAAAATCAAGAAGAAAGCTTAAAAGAAAAGGAGCGTTTATAAGAGCGATCGCATAATTTATTTAAAATTTAAAATCAACAGGACGAGAAAGATGTATCTCTGGCCTTCGGCTTATCAATTCGATATGTTTGCACATTCTAGAGCGCTTTCCGCCCAAGTAGTAATATATAAAAGAGTAAGCCGCCAACAAATGATTTCATATTGTAATAGAGAACGTTAGGAAACATTTAGTGCATCATCATTGTTTAAACCGGCTGACGATTATTCCCGACATGAGGCGACTCATTCTTCTGTATGTAATTTAAATAATAATCGCTTTTTAAGTATGCTATTACTGACATATATTAACTATAATTACATAAGTTATAATTATATAATTCGCATAATCATGTAATCGTTTTTCAAGTACTGTATTACGCTGGATATTAATTACAAAATCGCCATTAGTTATATTATGTATTCTTAATTCAAAAACTTTAAACTTAATTATTAATTTAAATTAGCATCACAATGCATTAAGTCATTTCTGCTTGTGTGAATTTTCTCTTCTCCTCTATTGCTATTGTAAGACGCTTCTTTTCTCTCGCCTAATCTTTTCTCGTCCAATTGTCTTCGAAAGGAATACAAAATATCATATAAACGTTTAATAACGCAATTTGAAATCGAATATAATTAGGAAATAATTACGATACGTATTTATACATATTTGTGTCCAAGTGTCTTTTTATAATGCTTGTAAATGCTTTTTTAATGGTAAATCTGAAATCTTATTCATAACAATTCCTTTTTACACGCATAAATAAGAATATCTCAGGACATACTGGCAAATGTAATAAGATGTATTAATTGTAATATTGCATGTATTGCAACAATTGTAATATACAATTAATTAGTAGATATTAATACGTTCTTTATAACAATGTATATTATAACAATTTTATATTACATATAATATATCATAATATAAACTGTAGTTATTAACTTATTATATATGATATATGTATAC